CCAGACCACCAGGCTCACCTCATGGCTCAGGAGTCGCACGCGGGCGGGAGCGAGTCGGAATGCATGGGCGGCCACATGGGCCACAACCAGGCCCTCAACGTGCCCGATTTCCTGCCCGCCATGCAGAAGGCCCTGTATGCCAGGCTCAGCCAGAAGCACCAACGGGATGGAGACTCTGCCAGCAGCCAGGGCCAGAGGGCCATGAGCAAAGACGAAGGTGAGGAGGGTTTTGTCGGAATTCTCAGCCTGGTTCTTGGCTGGGAATTAGCCGGGAATAAATCTGCTGACACTGATTTGCGTCACCGCTCACGTTATTGGGGATGCACAAGCAGCCACTCAGTGTTTTCAGCTCTTCTTCCCAGCTTCTTCTGGGATTTTAGTACAGGCTTAGTTGCTTCATCCTAGCTCCAAGGAAGAAGATCCGTGGATAATTTATGGATCTAGTTGGCACTTTTAAAAGGTTCTGTGGTTGATAATTACTTCTGAAAATCCCTGATTGAACCAGAAAGGTTTCTCACTGCCAGGAATGCAGGTGCATCCTAGATCCTGGTTTTTCAGTTGCACCTCTTGATCTTTTTTTCTAGAGCAGTATTTTTTCCTCTGTGATGTCCTTTAAAATTAAATATTCTTATTTCTTCCCACCCTGAATCTTGATTTCTCCCCCAAAGCTTGGGATTTGGATTATAGTAAGGCAGCAGGTTTTTCATTTATCTGGTTTTAAGGGACCATTTTACTTTTCATTCTTCCATCGAGACTCAGAGTTTAGATGTGAGTTTTTTTCACCAGCACTGTTAGACTTGTTTGGAAGCAGGTTATTTTCCCAAATTAATATTGATGGATATGGAGAGAGAACATTGCAGAGCTTGGGAGTATTTCCAGTACCTCCAGGATTTTTTGATATGTCAGTTCTTTGGTTAGATGGAGTTTTGTCATTTTAGATACTGTTTTTATAACACAGGGAGTTATGATTTAATGTCAGATCTTTTCAGCTTGATTTCACTGAGAAGTTTCCCATTGTGGAGTAAATGTGTCGGATTCTCTGGGGATTAATTGCTTGAATAATCGAAATGCTTTGGAATTTCTTTGGTTTCTAGATGACAATGTCAACTGGTATTCCAGTAGCGAGGAGGAAGAGGGGAGCAGTGTTAAATCGATCCTCAAAACCTTAAAGAAACAGAGCGAAAACTTTAGGAATCGGCAGCAACATTCCACGGAGCAGCACATGCTGGGAATTCCTACGGATCCCAGGCTGGCCAAGGACAAAGGTATGGGGCCTCAGACTGCTGACCCGAGACTTCGGGCCTCTCCAAGGCCCAATCCCAGGAAACCCTCCGATTCGGCATCCTTGGACCCCCGGCTGGCCCGCGATCCGCGGATGCACAAGGTGAGCGAGGGCCACGCCGGCTCCTCCCTCGGGGCGGCTAAGCTGGATTTGCACCACGCGCACACCGGAGTCAAAGTCAAGCAGAAAGGGATGGACGACGACGAGGAGGACTCGGAAAGAGAGCTGAGGGAACGGGCTTTCCTCATTCCCTTGGAACCTTTGCCCGGCGTCACGTTAAGGGATCCCCGCTCCCAGCTCCGGCAGTTCAGCCACATCAAGATGGATGTGACCCTGATGAAACCCAACTTTGCCAAGCACATCGTCTGGGCCCCCGAGGACTTGCTCCCAATCCCTTTGCCTAAGCCCGACCCCGTCTCTTCCATCAATTTACCTCTCCCTCCACTCATTGCCGACCAGAGACTGAACAAACTGCGGAATCTGAAGAACGATCCGCACCCGAACGCGATGCCGGCCGACCCCCGGCTCGCTGCCAAGGCCAAGAACAGCCTCGCGGGCCGGAGCGGCTACTTGGATCCGGCTGCGGATTCCCACGCCAGTAGCTCCAGCAAACTGGGGGATCCCCGCTTGCAAAAGAACGTGGATCCCAGACTCCACAGACTGTCGAGCGCAGACGCGCACCACGGAGTCGGGAAGGATTCCCACCCTCCCAAGTTTGACCCCCGGCTCGCCAGAGCTGCCGCCAGCTCATCCCAGCCCTCGGAAGCCGCGACTCCGAAACCCGACCCCGACGCTCTGCCTCCGTACGCGCCCAAACTGTCGTCCAGCGGCGTCAGGCTGGGAACGCCCGGCTCCATCCTGAGCGGGATCAGTTTGTACGATCCCAGGGATCACGGCTCCGCCTCGGACACGGTGCCAGCCAGTTCGGGAGAGAACGGAGAGAACCAGAAAAAAAGTATTTTGAAAAATTCCAGTAAAAGCGAGCCCAGCCTGGCAGAAGACGCGTCCCTGCAGAAAGCTGCCTCCAACGCGGAAAAAACCACGGAAGGATCAGCGGAGGCCGCTTCAGACAAAGCGAACAGCACCAGTAAATCTCAGGCTAAACACTCCAGCGCTGCTCCTGCCGTGCATAATCTCCCGATCCAGGCTTTGTCGGGATTAATCAGGCCGCAGTACAGCGACCCCAGGCAGGTGAGGCAGCCCGGACAGGTAACGCAGACCCCGGAGAACGATCCCAACGGGGAGTCGGATGATAAATCCTTGAAAGATGTTTTCAAGACTTTTGATCCAACCGCTTCCCCGTTTTGTTAGCAGATGGCTTTGGAGCCTTTTTACCGTTGTGGATATTGCAGTTCTCTGCTGTTTTGTACCTGGGTTACCTCTTTTGGCTTTATTTATTTTTAAATTATAATTCCCACCACTTTTCAGCTGCTAATCCCGAACCACACGCAGTTCTCCAGTGCGCTCGAGTGTTTGCAAAGCTGTGGTATTTTCTAGAGAATCCTTTTTTTTTTTTTTTTCCAATTTCAGGGAGACTAATAATTGACCTGTAGAAAGGAAACCAATCCCCCCGGATCGTGTTAGAGCTGAGAAAAGCACTTTCATTGTAAATAAGTCATGGAAAATCCCCAGAGCTGTATATGTGTGAGCTGCCTCTTCCCAACCACCACTTAGATCCGATTGCCACATTTGTATAGATCCAAGCAATATTATGTACATTAATTCCCGGGAGAGACGCCGTTCCAGGACTGCCAAACCCCCGAACCGATGGAAAACCTGCGTAAATGAATTCCAAGGAAACCGTCGCTCCTCCTTTTCCGATGCGTTGATGTAAGACACGGACAGTTTTTATTCCTGCAGTCAATATTAGTGTAAAAGAGACTCTATCGCATATTGAGGATGAAAAAAAATGTCATATCTTTTCAAAGTATTTTATTCTATGCTGTACATAGAAAAAAATTGTGAAGTACATAACTAGGAGAAGTAACTGTTCAAAGTGGAGAGAACTACGTTGTCTAATACGAGAAGAAAAAAAAGGTTTTTATTTAATTTCTTTTCCACACCTACACGATTGGGATTTAGTGCTCCGAGTTCCATTGTGGTGTTCATGTATTTCAACGTATTTTTGTATTCAGCTGCTTAATTTGTATTGCTTTTTTTGTATGGCTGTAACCGCAGTACTTGTATTCATGGTGTCTCGGCGACATTTTTAACAAAACAATTAAAAAGGGTACCGTTAATCCCTGGTGGTGACTCCGTGGGGACGCTGGGAAGAGGGGGATAACGCCGTGGGATAGTGCAGTGGGATGGTTGGTGGGTTCTTAACTTAACCATGTACCTGGTTCCAAGGCCCCTCTTGGAGGGAGTTGCCACTTTCCACTGCAAAATGTCCTGCATGTCTTTAATTTCCACAGGAGAACACAAATGTCCTCCAAGCCTCCTGTCCTGCCTTTTGGGTTGCTTTTCCTCCAGAGGAAATGTAGTCATTCCTAGCCCAGCTGCCTTTCCAATAAGAACTTGCCGGCTGCTCCATCACCACCTGCTTCCCGCCCCTTTGGAATGTTTCTTTGCATTCAGTCTCTTCCTTGGTGCACCTTTTCCTCTTCTTTCTTTGTTGGCCCAAGTGATGCTTCCACTGGGACAATCCAGTTTATCCCAAATTCTGAGGTTTTGGTTTCTTGCAGGGATGAACCAAGGTAATTCCTTCATGGCAGAGGAGACATCTCCAAAGGCAGTTGCGGTTTCAATTTGCCTCCCTGATTTCCCAGAATGTAAATTCCATTAATTTTATGGTCTTCTGAATAGGAAAACTGGGTAAGGGACAGGGAACCTGGTTGTTATTTTTGAGTGATCCATTAGTTCTGCGTAATTACATCTTCATGTAGTGACAAGCATGGCTGGTCAAGGTTTTCCTCAAAAAAACCAAGCCAGCAGGGAAAAATGGTGTGGAAATGGGATGTGGATACAAAGGCCAGCGAGTCCTCACAGCCTGGGTAACTCTGTAACTCACTCCTTCCTTCCTCTCCCCCAACCCCACAGGTCCCCATGGACCCTCCCAGCACCTCTGGGGCTGCTCTGCTCCTCCATCCACCCCTGCTCCCTGCTTTATCCGTTGCAGATTGCTTCCCAGAATCTCCGGTGTGCCTGCTGCTCTCCCTTGGAACACGGAGGAGATTCCTTGTGACTGCACAGGTAACAGAATTCCTGCTACGGGGAACATGATAGAGAGGCAGGTGGGGACACCAAGGTGGGGTTGGAATGGGCTGTGCATCCAGCCAGTTGTGATCTGCTGTGGTGTTGGATTGTGAATTCCACAGGGAAGGCTTGTTTCCAGCCCTCCTGCACGGTATTCCGGCACGGATCAGCGTTTCCATGGGACACCTGCAGCTCCATCCCCTGAGGCTGTGAAGGATGAATGTGGAGAGCCAGAGATGCAGGAGCAGCCAGTGTCACCAGTCTGGGATCCTCTGGAAGCTCTGAGGTGGGTGATGGTCAGGACTGAAGGTTTTACTTGGTAGGAGAAAATCCTGGGGCTGAGGGGGATTTTGGGAGGAAATCTGCAGGATCAGGGACACAATAAAACCGTACCCACTGCTGTATCCCTGGATATGTGATCTGTGACCTTGTCTGCTCTCTGCAGTGCAGAAAGACTGAGCAACTCTGGATCATAAAATCCTGGAATGGTTTGGGTGGGAAGGGACCTTAAACTCATCCCATCCCACCCCTGCCATGGGCAGGGACACCTCCCACTGGAGCAGGTTGCTCCAAGCCCTGTCCAGCCTGTGTCACCACCTGGTGTTTGCTGCCCTGTGGGTAAAACACTCACCAGAACATTCCTGGCCTCCCCACGGAGCCTCTTCCAAGATTTTCCTGCCACAATGGAAACGCTCCAACACGAATCCTTCATCTTGCAAATACTCCAACGCCATCAGGATGAGAAGCCCCTCCCTGGTTTTACAGGTGTCTGTCCATAGCTGTGTGTCCTTTCCTGGGACTGGGATGCTTTGGGATATTCCTGGTCTGAGGGGGTGGTTCTTGCACCCCAGCCATCAGGGTGGGCTCCGCCTTTGCTTCCCGAGTCTTGCGGAGCCCTAACTCATCCCTGTTGGAATTTAAAGCCTCCTTGGCTCTGTGCCACGACAGGTTTTTCTTCCACTGCAGGCAAAAAGCAGCAACTTCTTCTGCTTCAGGGTCAGATGAGGGTTGTCCCAAACCCTGTTGGACAAAATAATTGCTTTAAATATCTCTGTACATCCTAAATGACAGGAAAGTCTGGATGTGAGCTGATCCATGTGGGATTTCTACCTCTTAATGCTCACAATGCTTAAAAATGCTCAAAAAGGTGCTTACAGGGAGAGAAAAGGAGTACAGTTTCTTGAGAAGCAGGGAAATTTCCAAAGGGAGATTTCCAGGTCAAAAAGGACTTTGGAATCTAGACAGTCAAGATTAATTAATTGATTAATCCAGGCTGGAATCAGTGAAGTGAAAAATGGACAAATATAGGAAGTTTTAAGTTTGGGCAATTAATTAACACAGGAGGAGCTTTGTCACCCTTGGGGCTGATTATACAGGGAATGGGATTTTAAAAAACTGTCTCCTTCAAAAAGACAGGCTGATCCCAGAAAATGTTGTAGGATTGTAGAGGAGGATGGGACTCAGCTAGAAATGCTGCCTCAGGAGAGGCTGGTGGTGGTTGCACTTGTTTTCCAAGTGTTTTCAGGTAAAATCTGCTCCCACAGACTGTTTCCAGTTGGATCAGTTGGCTGTTGATGGCAGCTGCATGGAAAGCTCATAGGAGCTTGGCTTTTGGGAATAAAGGGGATTGGCAGGGACTATTTCCAGCTAAAGGTGACTCCAGGAACAATACCTGGGAAGGTGTAAGGTGGGCTTTGGAAACGAGACAGAAAGGCACGGAATAAAAACATCCCAGGAGGAATGTTTGCTCCAGCTGGAGTCCCACAGCACCCGGGGCTTGGAGCAACCCTTCCCCCTGCCCCAAAGCATTCCCTGATCCCGTGGCTGATGCCAAGGCTCACTCACTTTGACAGAGGCCGCCTCGGCCGCGCCCAGGAGGTGCCGCACCGCTCGCACCAGGTTCTGCGCGTTGCTCAGGAGCAGCTCCGAGGAGGCCTTGCTCTCCCCAGTCACTGCTTTCACCCTGAAAAGACATTCCAGAGGGTTTTACTGGAAGGGCATCGGGCATCCCACAGTGTCATTACTCCAAACCTGGCTCATCCCCTGTGCCATCCGAGCAGGGAAACCCCGGGCAGGAGAGGGAACCCTCCGAATGGTGTCCGAACTCCCACCGCCCACAAGGACCTCCGGGGGCCACCACGCACATTCCTTCTCCAGGGTCTTGGGATGACCTTGGGAGAGGTGATCCCTGGGCCTGGCAGCTCACCTGGCCACGATGCTGAGCTGGCTGCTGAGGGTGTGGGTGTGCTCGGAGGCGCGGAGCAGCTCCGTGGAGCATCTCTGGTCCGGGCACTGCTTGGCAAGGATGTGCCCAAATCTGACAACCACCTGCCCGTCGGAAGCGATTTGCCTGGCACAGGCAACAAACTGCTCCTTGCTCTAAAACGGGATAAAAATCAATGGGACTGGGGAGGGAAGGAGGAAAAAGCTTTTCCTGCAGGACAGGGAAGGATACATGAGGCCCAGATGCATCCTGGAACGAGGAAAGGATGGGATGCCAAGCTCACATCTAACCAAGAGGAAGGCATTTTGAGTATTTTGCATAAGTAGAGCTGGTGCCTCTCTCCTGAGAATGGGGTGACACAGGGATTTGGGATGGGCTTTGTGATCCTGAGGGAGAAGTGGAGGGGTGGAATGCTGCGTACCGCGATGGGGCCCTTCTTCCTCAGGAACTGAGCCATGTGGAGCATCCTCATTGCCATGTCCTGGATGACCTGGGACACCTTGCTGGGGCCGCCCTGCTGTGTGTCACAGTTTCCTCTCTTGTGCTCTGCAGGGGAGGTGCTGGAAGGGCCATCCCGCTGCTGTCCAGACAATAATGGAACAGATTCCAGGTCCAGAGCGTGCGGACACAGCAGTGCCGAGCGGCCTCCTCCACCTGCCTGCTTCTGAAACAGATTTTGGTGAGTAAAGGTGGTGGGAGAGGTGGGGGCCCTGCTGCGTCTGTTCCAACTCCCCACCAGCCCTTCTTCCCAGATCCAAAGCCCCTGGAGCCAGCTCCAAATGGGAGCAGCTGTCACGTGAGCTGACAGTGCACAGTTCAGAGCACAGTTGGAACAGTTCTCCTGAGGGACCTGGGTCATGTGCCAAAGCCTTTCCCAGCTCCCAACACCCAGCAGTGTTTGCTGTGGGAGTGGAGTTGCTGGTATTCCCAGAGGGAGCCTGTGGGAAAGTGAGGGAGAGTGGTACAGCCCTTGCCCCTCTGGAATGCCAGAGTTTAGGATGGGTTTGCTGATGCCGATCGGATATCGGGACTCCAGGGCTGCCAGCAACCTGAGCTGCCCAGGGTCAGAGTGCTGACCTCCAGAGGCCCTGCCAGCATCCCTCACATTCCCACTCCATGCTGGGAGCACCAGGAGTGATAGACCATCACCCTGCAGGAAAAGCTGATAGGGAAAAGAGCTACTGTACCATTTCACCTGCTTCCTGTGGAGCTCCACTCCCTGCTCTGCTCCCGAGCGGGCGACTTCCCGCTGCCTCAGTGGGCTGTGGGGCTGGGCAGAGCTGGGATTGTCCTGGGAATGCCTGGTCCCGCTGCAGGCGTTCCGTGATGCGCCACAGGACGTCTGTGCCGATGCCACGGGTGGCTCGGAGCTGTGTAAGGAGGTAGCGGGCCTGGGCTGACCAGTACAACACCACACTGTCCAGGTGAGCATCCCCTGTGTCCTGGGGATCCCAGGTGTCCAGGTGGGCATCCCCCATGTCCCGGTGGCTCCGGAGGCTCCGTCGGGCGCTGCCCACGGCGTGGGCCGTGAGGAGCAGGAGGTGCTCCGCCGTGGAGAGCGGGTTGTCCCGCGGTGGCAGTTGAGCTTCGGCCTCCAGAGCGTCCCGGAGGGTGTTCCTGACCCACTGGACATCAGCCATGAGCCGACTCGCCTTCTCCTCAAAGGCCTCCTTGCTCCTGTCCCTCTCCTCGTGGGAGAGGCCGGGCAGGGCTGCTCCAACCACGTCCTGGATGATGTGCAGCTGCTCCGTGTTGGCCCTCTCCAGGCGGAGCAGTAACGCCCTGGCCCTGAGGGCCACGTCTCTCCACAGGAGCTCGAAGCGGATGGACAGGCTGGCTGAAGGCAGTGGGGAGACCAGGAGGGTGTTGGAGACATCCAGCAGTGCTTCCATGAGCACCTGGATCTCCCCCCGGAGCGCCAGGATTTCCCTGGCACCACAGTCTCTGGGACAGGACAGGTAAGAGAGCCGGGCGGCCTCCTGCAGCCTCAGGGAATTCTCGGCCACGGCAGCCAGGAGGCTCCGTGAGCCAACCTTGTTCCTCACAGCCCTGCTCAGCTCCCTCAGGAACAGCACATCCCTTCCCACTAAGCGATCCATGGCATGCAGCAGGACACACATGCCTACGGCCCACCGGACACCGTGCAGCTCCAGCATGGCCTTTTCCATCCCACAGGAGCCCCTGAAGGATTCTGCCTTCCCCAGGAACACTTTGGTGTTCAGCTGAGCATGGGAAAACTTGGCTTGGACCTGCAAAAAGTTATCCCAAGCTTGGGAGGGAATGGGGTTTTCCTTACTACAGGCTGTGCTTGCAATGTCTCCTGCCAACTGCACTGCTCCTGCTAAAGCCAGCATGGCCTCATCCAAAGCCTGCTTCCCTTTTGGAAAGTCACCTGACGAGATAAACCCAAGCACTTGCTGGGACAGACTATTCCAAGAGCCTGCCACGGCTGCCAGGCACTGCTGGGTGTCCCGGATCTTTCCCGAGAGCCTGAGTGCCATGTGGATCAGCCTGCCTGGCGCACGGAGCTGGCTGTGGGCCGTTTCCATGGCCAGGCTGATAATCCTGGGGGTCAGTGCCGTGATGTCCCGGTGCTGTCCCAGCACCAGGAGCTGGGGGGGCTCGGCCATGGGCAGTGCTTCCCGTGCTGCATCCACACAGCCCTCAGAGAGCTCCAGCAAGGCAGAGCCAGCGGCACCGACAGCGGCCGTGTCCCGGGCTCGGGATGCTGCCAGGAGAGCCGTGATGGCAGGGTGTGCACTCCCTTCCCACGGAACATCCGGGTGGAAGGTGCCTGCTGGCGAAGATGGAGGACTTGGGATGTCACCGTGGAATGTGGCCTCATCCATACTGGTTTGTATCCCAGCGTGGGACGGGCTGAGCTCTGGCCCCTTTGCCACCTCGGTGCTCCACACTCGCTCCCGGAGCGGACTGAGGATATCCGGGTGGTTGGACCCATCCAGCCCAGCTTGGACACGGAGAGCAGCGTCCATTAGGCAGCTGGCTGCCTGGGAAAAGGCATCCCGGGATTGGAGGCAGTGGGCTGGCACTGCCCTCAGCTCCAGGATGGAATTGGCCAGTTGCTCCACCCACACCAGCAGGCCATTCCTAAAGATGGGATCTGTGGCCCTGTCCACGTGCCGGGTAGTAGCTCCAACCACCCAGCGTGCCCAGCTGGTGAGGCGAGCA